CACCTTTCCCTGCAGCCACCCCCAGCCTGGCCTGCACTCTTTACTTCACCTGTGCTGTCTCGGTGAGCCTGCGGCTATCTGATGACATCAGGCACTGCTTTCATCTCCATTTCATAAAAGAGGAAACTGAGACTCAGGTTAGGGAACTCCCCCAACAGCATACAGCCAGTAGGTTCCAGGCTGGGACTTAACCCAGGTTAGGGTTCTTAACCCCACAAGGCCTCCTCAAGAGTCCAGGGCCTTCACTGCCCATCCTGGCCCCTCTGCTCAGCATGGGCTCCGACCAGCCCATGGCCTCTGCAGAGGAGCTCTGAGCTTCACCCTCCTGAAGCACATCTCCCCTCACCCACTGATCTGCTCATTCACTGAGTCACTGAACACCCAGCACATGTAGACCTGGGCCTGGACATATATAGCCTGAGAGGGAATAAGTGTGTGGGAGCGGAGGCCTTGGTCAGAGACCCGGTTAATGCACAGGGGAGCTTAGAGAGAGGGCTGCCCACCCATGCACCCCCACAGCTTAGAGTTGTGAGGCTTTCTGCACATCAGCTCCTCAGGTGAGAAGTGTGTGGCCCCAGGCCCAGCCTGGGAGTGGTGATGGTGGCATGTGCTTGTATGCAGGCGACATCAGGCCCCCCTACAACCTGCCCACTTTGGACCAAGGAGACATCCAGTGGCCACTAGGAGACCTGCAGCCTTTCTGTAGGAGCTCTGGGTGGAAGTATTAGGGTCTAACCAGTCCCCTGGGAGTGCCCAGGGGTCTAAAAGGACATAATCACCCTCTACCTCCATGTTGGGGTGGAGCTCATGGCTGCTCCAGGCCTCAGTGCTGGGACTCAGTGGGAAGAGAGCAGGTTCTTGTGTATCCTTTCCAACCCCAGAGTTGGGGGAGAGCTGACCGGGAGGGTGCTGGACAGAGGGAGGATGGCAATCAGGAGGATCTGATCCATCATTGTTGGTGAACAATGAGCCGTCACCACCCTAATTAAAGATGTAATTACAGCAAATACATTCTGGGCTGAGAATGAATGACGGATGGCAGGAAGGCACCTTGTAGCCAGCAGCCAGGACTCCAAGCTGGGTAACCCTCCCCTCAGCATGCCCCCCAAGCTGGTTACAGGGTGCCTTGGCTTTTGACAAGATGATGATAGACAGACAGGGACTGAGTCTGGAGCTGAGGTGCCAGGCAAGGCTGGGGGCCAGGGCCTTGTTGGAGAAATGAGCGTGGCAGGGAGGCCGAGGCCAGATTAAGAGGGACTGGGTTGGTGTTCTGTCAGGCAGGGGAGCAGGGCCAGAAAGAGTGGGTACCTCTGTGAGAGCATCACCAGAGCACAAAACAGCATTTCAAGGCACACCTGCTTTGGGAGTAATTGGGCCTCTGCAAATGCCAGAGGGACTGAAGGCTATTGACCTTTGGTCCTAGAAGGTGAGTGCAGGGACCAGGCAGAGGGGACTCAGCCTGTAGAGGGTAACCATAGTGGGGGTCTGGTGGGCTATATTGGCTTTTAGGTCTGGCCCAGACTTCAGGGACTCGGTGTGGGTGGGGGGACTCTCCTGAGGGCCGATTTGTTCTTACCTGGGGGTCAGGGTACAGGGCAGGGCAGGGGACTGGCTACATGAAGGGAAGAGAGATGGGCTCCTTCCACTCACCTGGTGACTGCTGCTCCCTCCTTCAGCAGGGAAGGCCCCCAGACACCCCTCACTCCCTCACCCCTGCCCAGGACCCCCTTAAAAGTTACGGGCACTGGTAGGGACCTAGGGACTGGTTGCCCTGAACCTGGGCTCAGGACATCTTCCTCTACCTAGGATCTGAGCGTCTAGATTCCAAGGCCTGTTTGCCCCAGGCCCCTACCCCAACTGACCCTCAGGGATTAGGAAACCCTGATCACAGGGTCAGGTCACTCTGAGGCCAGCCTGAGCTGTGACCATCCCAGGGCCATCCCAGGTTTGAAGGCCTGCTTGGATGGGGGGCTTGGTGGCCTCAGCCTCTTGGCCCCATCTGCCGTGATGGCCCCTAGCCAGGGTCCTTCAGGGTGTGTGGACTGACCCCAGGGGAGAGAGGGCTGGATGGGGGCTGGTGGGGAGCCCAGGCAGGCATACGGAAGGGAGGGAAGGCCACTGACAGCAGAACAAATGCTTGTAATTTTATAACCAATCTCAGCGTGTCCGTGGGGGGCCGTTTGTGCCTCCACTCAGGACCAATCAGCCTGACAGAGCTATGAGTCTGCCTGAGTGAATGTGAGCAGCTTCCCCCCCCAACACCACTTACTGCAATCTCATTACCTGCCCAGCCCACGACCCGCGAGGGCTGAGGGGCTGCAGGGAAGCAGGACCCAGGCCATGCTGAGGCAGAGCCAGGCCAGAGCCAGGAGTGGGCTAGGGCCAAGAAGGCAGGGTAGGTGGGCCTTGGAGATCCAGTGCCTCAGAGGGACGAGGAAGGCAGGCAGGCTCAGGAAACAACAATTTACTAAGCACTCATTGGTTGCTGAGCATGTAGGATAGGGTTAGGGTACAAGCCTCTGCCCTCAAGGAGCTTGCAGTCTGCTAGGGGCAGATGGCAAGATTACAGAGGGATGGGCCCTGGGGAGGGCAGAGATGGAGAGAGATGTGACCAGAGGGCAAGGAGGGGCAGAACCCCAGAGTGGAGCTAGCAATGGGCAAGGGGTGGGAAGGAGAGGGTAAGAAATCAAGGTAGAGGGAACCAGAGAAACCTCAGGAGTGCTTGCAGAGCCCAGGCAGGGAAACACAGGGCATGGGAAATGCCCACCAGGGGAGAGGGGCCTGGCTGGCCGGTGGTGGATATTAAAGGATGGCCTTGCTGGATAGCTGGCTCTGGGGATGGCTATATGCCCATTAGTCTCTCTAATTGTCAAAAATCTAATTTAGTGTCTGGAGCCCGGGCCAGCCTCGGGTTAAATGGAGGGAGGCAGGCCTAGCCATAAATCTGCCCTCTCAGCCTGGGCTGGTGCTAATTCTGCAGTTAAGTGAGGAGGTGAGGAAGGCAGCAAGATGGGACAGGGAGGGGGTATCTCTGACCCTGCATGCCAGCCCCCGTGCGCTAAGTCTTAGCTAGGCTTTCCTCCCTTGCTGGAGGAAGGGAACTTCCTTGGGGCTTGTTTGGACCAGGCAGGGGAAGTGCCTCAAATGTGTGATGAGATCAGGACCAGAGGGAGTCTCAGGGTCTGCGTGGCTGGGATTGTAAAACCATCAGCCCCTCGTCCTGGACCTAATCTGGGTCTCTGTGGGCTCAGCTCTTCACAGTCATCAGTAGGAAAGTCACATTTCCTAATACCATAGTGAGCCTTTGGCGAGGAAGGGGGCATGGAGATTCAGACCATGGGAGATTCATATTCACACATGTGACCAAGTGACTGGCATCCTGTTCACTAGGTGATGGCTAATGATAGCCTCGGTGATGGGGACCCACAGCCATTCCTCACTGGGGAGAACAAACACAGCCCCCCGAGTGGCCCAGCCTCTCTTTCCCTGGGCCCAGACTCTAAATAAGGTGCATGGGGACCAGGACAGCCTCGGAGGGCCTCCTGTGGCCTGAGGCAGGGGAGGGCTCTCCACCTGGGTTTGGTAATGACCTCACTCCCCTCAGAGCTGCTAATTGAAAGCAAGGGATGTGGTAGACGCAGCGGGAGAGTTTGGGGGGCTGAGAGGGTTCCCTGAGAGGCTCTGCTTCCATTGGGGGGAGGAAAATGATTCCTCCTGGCTTCGGCTCCATCTCACTAGGCACCCACCGGCCTCTCCCGCTGCTAAGGAAGTGCCTTTAATTAGCAGCCTAATAAAATGCTCTTAATTGGCAAGAGCCAATCAGGAAGAAGAGAGGTCTCCTCCCCTTAGTCATTGCTGATAGGGGTGCAGCTATAGGTTTCAAGGGAAGAGGGATTCCAGGCCCAGCCTGGCTTTAGGAGACAGTGACTCCAAGGCTGAGTCATCTAAGGGCATGCCCTAAGCCCCAGCATCCCTGCGGGAAGCTGACACTGGGTTTGAAGATGAGACTCAAACCCCAGACCTAGTCTCTGCTCAATTCTGGGCTCAGAAGCCCAGCTGGCGAGTGACAACTGAGCAGATGCCAGTGACCAGAGTGGTCTACTGACTCCTCCCTCCCTGTCCCTAGTTGTTAGGGAGAAGACTCCAGTGTGGTCGCAGGTAGTAGGGGGAGCCCCTTCTCCTGCTCCTCAGGTTCCTCATCTGCAAAATGCCAGGGGCGCCTGATGCTCTGACTTGTCTCCATTCTAGGAGGAATAGTTCTGCACTGGGCCATCTGCACTGCGGCCCTGTCGTCTAACAGTCTGAGAACGCTCTAATGACCACAGTGGTCAGTTCAGGTACCATAGGCACTGGGACCACAAGGCTGATAGAGCCTGGGAGCCTGGTCAAGCAGAGAGGGATACTACTACTGAAAGCCCATAGATGGAAAATAAGGGTGGATTAATTTTGACAAGGATCCTGCTTGTGACACTTGGAGGGGAAGAGAAGAGGGGGAAAAGGAGGGGTCTGCCATGCTTGCTACCTTGCATCCATCTCCCTAGGTTTGCTTTAAGGAGGTAAGGGGGGTGGGTTTCCCCAGTCAATGCTCTCTTCATTTTTATAGCTTATTGGAGTTTCTCTGGAAATTGCTCCCCAATGTGAACTCGCCTGTCTAGAAACTGACCAAATGGGTTGCAAGGGAAACCCAAGTCTTCTTACCCATCAAGGTGGCAAATTTAAGGAAAAGGAAAATTTAAGTTCTGGGCTCAGGCTGAGTTGTAGTAGGCTCAGGCTATGGTGACAAGTTCCCAAATTAGACATCACTTTGGCTTCAATTTAATTCAACATGGAATACTAATTGTACACCAAGGCACCCCATATTTATTCACACCATTTGGCCCTGACTTCTCTCAATGTTGCTTTCTCATGTCAGATTATCTTAAAAGTATCTGTGTACTCCCTCAATTTGTATATTGAAATATTCATTGTCCTCTTGATGTCGGGGCAAAGAGACAAGACACTTAAAAAATTCACTTTAATCTTATATTTGTAATTTAAGTTACTTTTTTTTGAACAGTTAAAAAAACCAAAACACACTACATTACCATGATCCTAGGTTGTGAACATATTGGTACATTGACTACACATCACCGTAACATAATCACAAAATTCAAAGCAGTCAGCACTTAAGAGTCTAGAGAACAAAGGCTGAATCAACAGAAAGCTCTTGGGGAAGCTCACATTTGTTGCCAGGCCTGTCCCATAGTGGAGTCCAGCGAACATCCCTCAGAACAGTCTGGGTTGGGCTTGAGTGATCACTGATTTGGGAAGCTGTTAGTTTCCTTGGTACCCAGAGGTCTGACCCTTCTTGTTGGTCTTTTCCTTCAGTGTCCAAAAAGGGAAAGGGACAGAGGAGCATTGACATTTATAGTGCTATTTATTACACTGATCCTTACACACACACAGCCAATCAGGAGCTTAAGACCCAGCTGGGTGCGTTTAGATGTCATCTGCCTCCATGAAATTTTAGATCATAGGTATTCAACTTCCAACAGAAAAGGTTTTCTGGGTATCAATGCATTAAGTTCCAACTGAAATCAGGCAGCCATAGTCATGCTTTTTTGGTTTCTCTCCTCAGTTCCAAGGATTCTGAAGTCACAAATGAACTACAGGTAAAAAGAACAAGAAGCAAAACCCAGCTTTATTCCCCTAAGAGATGCCGGTCTTCCTGGCACTGATTATGTCGAGACTGTGGATAAAGTAAGGGGATCTGGTCTGTTAGTGATCAGCTGTGTGTGGATGAAGCCCAGAGAGATTAACTTAGCCTGTAGGCTTTGGGTGAACTTGTTAGAAGTGAGAATTATTCTAGGAGGTAAGGAGGTAAGAGAGGAAGGCAAGGAGAAGCAAGGGCACCTTTTCATGTTCTCCAGCTCTTAGAAAGTCTGTTGAACTGATCCAAACGAGGAGGGAGATCAGAAATGTGGATTAAAGTCATATGGTAAACCTGATCATCAAAGAGCATGATGGTCACAGGCGGTGGGTATCTCAACATCCCCTTTTCCATCTGGAAGTACCTTGGATTCCTCCAGAATCAAGCTTGCAGCCTAGCCTCTCAGGCATACAGTATTCTGGGTTGAAATGCTCCCACTTCAGGCAGGAAGATATTACCATCTAAGGTAAATGGAAGATGCCAAGAAGGCCAACAATACCAAGGTATCTAATCTAATTCTAGGAAAGAAAGAACTGCCGTAATTATTTCCAATACTCTCCACCCCGTCTACCCCAAGCCCTTTGTTTCCACATTCAATCAAGTGTTAAGCAAGGAGGAGACGACCATAGCTGTTCAGACCTATGGGCACCAGGAGACTGCAAAGGAGAAGAGTGCATACTTTCATCTCTTCAGCTTTTGATTTTACAAAAGAAAAATAAAAAGGATTTTTCTTACTCAAGCAGAAAACAGAATAATTTAGGGGTCCCAAGGTCTTTTCCAATTCAGAAACAAGTTATGAGGGCCAGACTTTATTACTTGTCAATAGAGGTCCAAAGGGTCCCTGTCACTGAAGTTTCTGGTGAAGAGTCACCAGAGAGAATTTTGCCAAGGGACAAGTGTAAGAGGCCTCCCCTTCCCATTACCCTTTACAAGTGTAGAAGGTGTCCCACGAAAGAGGACACTCACGTCCACTTTCAAATTGCACATAAAAGGATGTTCTCAGTGGTGGAAATACACATACGTGCAGCAAGGCATGCTGGTTTTGTCTAAGCAGCCCCGGTGGGAACAGAGCTCGCACGTGCCCACAGAACTGCCAGGTGGAGGTGCAGGCACACACTCCTTGCCCGCCTTTGGAAGAGCTCCCTCCCATCTTTAAGAAATGTTTCTTTCAGGCCCACATTTGAATTTTAGTGAGAAGAGACTAATCTACAATGGAGACATTTCATTTCAGAGCCCAGAGACACCTTCAGCTCCTTTCTACCAATCCTTTCAATGTGTTGAGACTTTCTTTGTTTCTCCTTCCTTTTTAAAAAGGTCAAACTTTACATTTATTCTAGCCCAGTTGGGGATTAGTGATAATCAATTCCCACTGAAATCATGCAGAGATGGTAAGTGGGGTTTACCTTCTCTGGAAATGAACTTCTACTTACCTGATTATTTCTTCTACAATGAACTGGTAAATGACCCCCAGAGCTGAGAGATGTGACTGACTCAAGTTTTTCAGACCACTTAACTTCATTCCCATTTCCATCGGCAGCAAAGGACAACTTGGAGAATATCCTTGACGGAGCTAATGGCTCCAGACTGCAGGGTCCACCCTCGATCTCATTTATGAGGTACTGGACAAGTTTCAAAACAGTCTTAGAAACAATACACCTTCAACTGAACCTAGATGGGAGAGCAAAACCCCAGGCACCAATGAATATTCAACAGCTCCCACTTTTGAATAGCAGCATATAACAAAAGGGCTAGTAAAGTTATGGCTATTGGACAATATTTTGAAACAGCTTGAAATCCACGCCTCTTCAATGTCTGACCTGTGTTATTCAGGGCTGATGATGGCACTCTGCCTCCTCTGTAGCACAATCCTCAACCAATCACAAAGCCATTAACAGTCAACACAATAGACAAGGAACCTTGACAGTGGCTAAATAGAAAACATGTCTCTGTAGCATTTGGGCAGTTGGGAAGGGAATTATACTCAGAAAATATTTCCCAGGCAATGACATATTATTACACTGGGAAATATTTTCTGAATATAACCTGGAACTAAAAGCTAAAAAGCACTCATAAAGCAGGAAAGGAAAAATGCATATGCATAATCTGCCTCTCAATATGAAATAACAACATTCAGTCTGGGCACATTTTGGGAAGAGGACACCTTCTTGCAAATCAGAGGGAAGAGTGAAGATGGTTTTCTCTGCCCTTTCTCCTCTGCTGAACTAAAGGTGGCTTGGCTTTGAGGTCACCTGCAGCTAGCTCCTATTCTGATGTTTTTACAGCAGCTGGTTAAAAAGGGGCTTTCTTCTACTCAACTGCTTTAATTAGGAACAGAAACAATGGGCCTGACTGCTCAGCTTCGAAGGGAAACTTGAGACTGCACTGTGGCCTTGAGGCCTTCGATGAGCGTGCCCATGCTGGTGCACGTCCACTCCTGCTCTGGGACACAAGTTGAGCACACGCTCATAGTAGCCCCTGTGCTCCCAGCTCGGGGCGGCACCCGCACCCTGCACTTGAAGCCCATACAGCTCCCTTTCAAGTGGCCAGGTTAGCCTGGCCCTTGCTGAGGTCCATTTGTTTATGTTGCTCACCAACTGCCAGAGAAATTTTATTGACTGGGGAGAGTGGAGAGTAAAATAAGGCCAGGAGGAGGAAGAAAAGGAAAGAGAAGGCAGTTTCTGCCTCATTAATAAACCCTGTGTGCCAAACTTCACCCTGATCCTCTCTCTCTGGCAGCTTTGCCTTTTGTAAATACTGAAAAGCAGAAGGAAAGTTCTGCAGTGCAAAGTTGAGATGATTAGCCTGAATTCTGAGAGATGATATTTACTGGTCTAAATGAAAAAGAAATCAACGTTTACTCCTGACCACCCCTCTTGAGCTATTCTGATAGTGGTCTTGGCAAAATATAGACGCCTGGGTGCTCACAAGCCCTGATGAGGAAATCAGAGACGTGAACCATTATGCAGAACGCACTGAGCGACTGGCTCTGGCCATTTCAAACCTTTCCGTAGGCTGAGCTTTACCAGTGATTTAAGATGAAGTACAATGCTTTTTATTACACATCTAATTGTTAATGAGAGGAAATGCAATCAGCAACTGCTTTCCACACTCTACATGGAATCGAGGAGACTGCTGAGTCCAGAAAAGATGCAGCCATTGATGGAGCCCAGGAAATTTCTGCCCCCTCCCTTTTTTTTGGGTGGGGGGCCGGGGGCCGTGCTAGGAGGAGAAGAGAGAAGAGTTGCAAGTATGATGAGAGTACCATGTCTGAGAATCCATTGTTGCCACTTAGGGTCACTTGCAGCAAAAGCCTGGGTTTGAAATTTTGGCTGAACACATTTAACTCTTCCAAGTGTTACATTTTCTAGCTGATTTGCCTCACGCCAACTGACGACACTCTCTTCATACTCTTTCTTCTCAGGTGAAGCAGAGAAACAGCTTGAAGGGGAGAGGGGCAAAGGGGGAAGAGGAACAGAAACAGAGAAAAAGATGAAAGGAAACAAGCCCAGATCTTCCAGTGTGTGCATCCTTGTTTTCTCTTTCTTGCCCCAGAGGCTACACAGACAGCTGTCTCCTCCTAAGCATAGCAGGGCAGGGCTGATCTTGCCAGGCGCTGGGCACTCCCGCAGTTCACATGGAGACACTGGGTGCTGTCTGGCTTAAAGTCATATCCCCCTGTCCCCTAGAAGTGGGTATCTCCCAGTAGGCTACATAGGGAAACTAGTTCTTCTGCTTAATGGCAAAGCAAGAGAGATTCTGGCAAAACACTAAATATATTTATAAGTCATCTTTGTCTGGAACCAAATGAGGAAAAAACAAGTGTAGAGGGGACAGGAGAAGGGGAGGGGAGGTGCGATTTAAAAGTTCCAATCATTCACGAAAGATAAAAGACATCTTCTGATAGCAGCACGGAAGCAGTCAGCTGTGTTGAGTAGACCATCCTGGGTCGACTGCAGACCAACTGTGTCCCAACAGGAGTCTCAAAGTCCCACTCCTCAGCTAGTCCGGGAAAGTGGGTAGTAGTTTGACTGTTACGGTTGTTGCTCATCTTGGTATGGGCAGATACGTTAAATACTGCAACTTTAATGAGTCCTGTGTGAAAACAGAGCAAATAGTCATTAGTCCTTTTCCCTATATTTCTTACTTGCTCTAAGAGGAGAAGAATATTAACCTAGCCATCAACTGGGAGAAAGGCTCAGAGGTCCTTCCTAATGCCTGCTCTCTGCCCATGCCACGCAGGAGCTTCTGTCGAAGGCTACATGGCCTGTTTGGGGACTTGGCAGGGCTCACTAACATGCTCAGGGCAGTAGTGCTCACACAGAGTGACTCTGATGTCTTGAGATTAAGAGTGACTATGGTGGGTGTAGCATCTAACGGTAGAGCAGGTAAGGACAGCTCTGAGGTTCTGGCTCCGAGTGGCCAGGAACAGTTGTGTCATTAGCAGAAGCAGGGGAGTTGGTTGAAGCTGTCTTGCTGCTTGTCTAGAGGGCACTGACAGTGTAGATGAGGGGAAAATATGATTGTTAGATGTGTACACTAGATATGCTCCTAGTACCCTCAAGGATAGATGTGTAGGTGGTGGCTGGAAACGTGGCCTGGAGATAAGGCAGAGGTTGGGACTAGAGACACAAATTTGAGAGTCATCTACATTGAGATGACAGCTGAAGCCTTGCTCCCAAGAGATAAGGCAGCCAAACAAGGGAACTTAGACAAAGAAGAAAAGCCTGACACAGACTCTTAGGAGATGTCTATGTTTTAAGGGTGAGAGGAGGAGGCACACATAATCAGAGAGCCAGAAAGAATATTAAAAATGGAAAAATGTCATAGAAATCTAGGGAGGAAAAAATTTTGGCAAAAGGAGGGGATAGGTACTTGATGATTACAACATTAACACTAATCACCACTTTTTACTGAGGGCCTTGTGTGCTAGGCATTGTGCTAAGCACTAAGAATTTTACATATAAGACTTCAATGCAATCCTCACAACAGCTCTGTGGAGTAGGTATTGCAACACTCACTTTACTAATAAGGAGACCGAGGCTCTGGGAGGTTACTTGCCCAAGGGGACACAGCTAGGACTCTCACCCAGGCCTGCCTGTGTGACTTGCGGAAGCAGCTGTCCTCTGTGAGAGAAGTTAAGCACTGAAGCGAGCCTACCAGGGCATGAACCACCTCACTCAGAAGAACCAGTGCGAAAAGATGTGCAGAAAAGTGTATTAAATGTGTACTTCTGCCATAAGAACTGAGGCAAGCATGGGAAATGAGAAATCATAATGACAGCAATGCTCCCCAGTAGCTTTTTCCAAAAAAAGTTCGGTTTTCCCAAATGAGCAATAACCTAATTAATGTATTTGAACTGGTTAGGACACAAGGTATGATCTGAATATACCATAATATAGATAAAGATGAATTCTAGGATCTTTTCATGTCTCAGAGGGAGGATGCAGACTTGAGTGGGAGAATACACTGAGTTTTCACCAACTCCATAGCTACTTCCAAGGTCAAAAGACAGTTCTTTTCTTTTTTGGAGGGGATGGGGCCTGAGGATAAGGATAAAAAAGCTACCTTTTATAATCAAATGACACTGACAAGGCAGAACTGTGAGAAGTCAGTGTGATATTTCACCAAGTGATTTTTCCATTCACACGTTAGATTATCTACTTGGATTAAAGGGTCTCAATTATAGGTACTGGTTCGATTTGGTTAACTACAAAGTCAGGATTTGGGGTCATTACTCTTAGTTTCGAAACTAATTCAAATTTCATTTTATTTTCTTAACAGTCCTATTAGATAACTGGGGCAGAAATCATTAGTTCCACTACACAAGGATCATCTAGATCTAGTTCAAGAATCATCTAGAACTGAGGCTGGCTTTATAGGGCTTGGAAAGATAAAGGGCATGAGAAGGCTCCATGAGCTAGTAACACCTTACAGCCAGTACTCCATCTCCTATCCAGAGTGCTATGTACACAATTCTTTTTCATACCTGGGCAAGTATGAGGTCAGTGTATGATTATTTATCTGGAGATATAGGTGTATGTTCGAGAAGGGGAGTGGGGGGGTTCAGCTTGGGCAGCTGGATCATTTAGGAAGTCCCAGATGAGGATTGTGTCATCATGTGAACTACTGACAATCTGGAATTCATCAAACTGAAGTCGGAAAACTCTTCCAGAATGTTCCTAAAGAAGCAGAAACAAAAACTTTTGAACTACTCAAAATCAAAAGGACACAAATTCAGCAACATGTCAGAGGAGTCTATGGAAAGGTATGGTATGCTGGTAATTTACCATTTATCTCTTTCAAGAATTCATAGAAAAAAGCTGGATTAAAGGCTAGATGGAAAGTCAAATATTGGGCAGTTAATTTCATACACAAAGTAACATCCACTAGAGCTGAGACATGTCAAATAGTATGCTAGTTTCTCATTGCTGACTGTCCTTGGCTTAGGCTGAACGAGAACATTCCTCAGGACCTCCCTCAACTTATCCTCTCCCTGTATCTCTAGAATTCTTTTACGATCAGAGGCCAAGGATTGATGAGCAATAACAAGTGGTGTGCTGTTATATGTTTATCAATTAACTCTTCTCAATTTGTAAAAGCAGTTGTACATTTTCATGGTGTAAAAATTCCTATCCTGGCCAATTTAAAACTACCCATGTAAGGTCAACCAGCTTGCAAAATTCATGAAAATTTAACAATTGGCTCTCATAAGCAGGTGGAAGCCTGCTCTACCACACCATTAGCAGTGCTAACCAAGCACTGCTGATCAAGATGTAGAATATTTCCAGCATCCCAGAAACTATTCATGCCCCTTACTAGTCAATACTACCTTCATCCCAATGCTATCGTCATCAATTTGTTTTTCTTGTTCTTGAATTTCATATAAATACACTCATATGGTATGTATTCTTCCGTGCCTGGTTTCTTTTACGCAACGGTATAAGATTCCTCTCTGCTTCTGCAGGTAAGAGTGCTTCATTCTTTTTATTATTACTGGTTGATAGTCCATTATATGAACACACTATGATTTGCCTTTTCTGCTGTGGTGGACATTTGGGCTGACTGTAATTTTGGCTATTATAAATAAAGCTGATAAGAACATCTATATACATGTCTTTTCATGGCTATACATTCTCATTTCACCTAGGAGCAGAACTGCTGGGCCATAGTGTAGGTATATGTTTAGCTTTAGCAGACATGGCAAAACAGTTTTTTAAAAGTTGTGCCTATTTACGCTCCCACCAGCAATGTATATCAGAGTTCCAATTGCTACACATCTTCACTAACAAATTGATACTGTCAATCTTTTAAATTTTAGCTATTTTGGTAAGTTTGTAGTTGTATTTTATTCATGTTTTAATTTGCATTTTTCTTTATGCAGTTGAGGAAGTTCTCTATTCCTAGTTTGCTGAGAGTTTTTATCATAAATGGATTTTACCAATTGCCTTTTCTGCATCTATTGAGATAATCATGTGATGTTTCTTTAGCCTTTTTTCTTGATGAGGAATATTGGCCGCGAGCTAATATCTGTTGCCAATCTTCCTCTATTTTTTGTATGTGGGATGCTGCTACAGCATGGCCCAATGAGCAGTGCAGGTCTGTGACCAGGATCTGAATTGGCAAACCCTGGGCCGCTGAAGCGGAGCGTGCAAACCCAGCCATAGACTACAGCATTAGGCCAGCCCCTCTTTAGCTTTTTGATGTGATGGGTTACATTAAGTGATTTTTGAATATTAAACCAGCTTTGCACACTTGGAATAAATGCCACTTAGTCATGGTGTATAATTCTTTCCATATGTTGTTGGATTCAATTTGCTAATATTTTGATGAGGATTTTTTTAAATTTAAGAGTTAGTTCATTTCACTGGCATATTACTAGCTTTTAAATAATTTTAGAAATTTCCTTATTGTGAAATCACTAAACATAAGGACAGTGACAAAACCATACTCAAATCTGAAGCAAATAGTTCAAAATATTACCAAAAAAATTCTACCTAATAAAGTCATATTAGTCTTGCAATTGTGTGTTTACCTATTATATTACTATTTAAAAAAACATTTTATTTTGAATTATGGTAAAAACCACATAAAATTTACCATGTTATCCTTTTTGAGTGTATAGTTCAGTAGCGTTAAGTGCAATCAATCTCCAGAACTTTTATTAGACCACAACTTCCCATTTCCCCCTCCCTTCAACCCCTGGCAACCATCTTCTAACTTTTTACGTATTTGACTACTTGAGATACCTCATATAAGTGGAATCACACAGTATTTGCCTTTCTGTGACTGGCTTGTTTCACTTAGAATAATGTCCTCAAGTGTCATCCATGTTGTAGCATATGACAGTATTTCCTTTCTTTTTAAGGGTGAATAATATTCTCTTATGTATGTGTATATATATATATATACACGTCAGATTTTGTTTAGCCATTCATCTGTTGATGGACACTTGGTTGCTTCCACCTTTTGGCTATTGTGAATAATACTGCTATGAACATGGGTATGCAAACATCTCTTTGGGATCCTGCTTTCAATTCTTTTGGATATATACCCAGAAGTGGGAGTGCTGGATCATACGGTAATTCTATTTTTAATATTTTGAGGAACCACCATACTGTTTTCCATAGAGGCTGCACCATTTTACATTCTTTTTTTTTCTTTTTGAGGAAGATCAGCCCTGAGCTAACATCCGCTGACAATCCTCCTCTTTTTGCTGAGGAAGACTGGTCCTGAGCTAACATCTGTGCCCATCTTCCTCTACTTTATATGTGGGATGCCTACCACAGTATGGCTTGCCAAGCGGTGCCATGTCCGTACCTGGGATCTGAACCGATGAACCCTGGGCCACCAAAGCGGACCATGCACACTTAACCACTGCGCCACCAGGCTGGCCCCCCATTTTACACTCTTTACAAGATATAAATGAGCTCTGTGATCATGAAACATTGGTCTGTAGTTTTCTCTTCTTGTAACATCTGTTTGGTTTTGGTACTAGGGTAATGCTGGCCTCATAGACTGAGTTAGAAAGTATTCACTCTGCTTCTATCTTCTGGAAGAGATTGTAGAGAACTGGTATAATTTCTTCTTTAAACATTTGGTAGAATTCACCAGTGAACCCATCTGGGCCTGATGCTTTCTGTTTTGGAAGATGATAAATTATTCATTCAATTTCTTTAATAGGTATAGGGCTACTCAGAATGTTTATTTCTTCCTAAGTGAGCTGTGGAAGACTATATCTTTCAAGGAATTGGTCCATTTCATCTAGATTTCAAATTCTGGGGCATGGAATTGTTCATAGTATTGTTTTATCATTATCCTTTTAATGTCCACAGGATCTGTAGCGATGCAAAGCTGAGTTTAACACTAAAAAAATCAATGCAACACACCAACAGAACAAAGGCAAAAACCATATGATCATCTCAATGGATGCAGATAAAAGCATTTAACAAAACCCAACACTAATTTCTAATAAAAATTTTCAGCAGTCTAGGAGCAGAAAGGAACTTCCTAATCCCCTGACAATGTACTTACCAAAACACCTATAGCTAATTTATATCTATATATATATATATAAAATGGTAAAAGACCAAATGCCTTCCCCCCATTCACTCTTACCACTTCTTTTGAACACCGTACTGAAGGTTTTAGTCAGTACAATAAAATAAGAAAGAGAAATGAAAGGCACACAGATTGGAAAAGAAGTGTATTTCTATATATTTGCAGTGAACAATCCAGAAATTAAAATTTTAATTTTAATAACATTTGCAATATCATTAAAAATATTAAATACTTAGGGATAAATATGACAAAGACCTTCATACTGAAAACTATAAAACATTGCTGAAAAATTTTAAAAGACCTAAACAAACAGAGAGATACAATCCTAATGAAAATCTCAGCAGATTTTTTGTTGCTGAAATTGGCCAACAGATTCTATAATTCACATGAAAATTCAAAAGATTCAGAAAACTTTGAAAAACAAGAAAGTTGAAGGACTTAAACTACTTGACTTCAAGTGTTATTAAAAGGCTGCAGTAACCAAGATAGTATGATACTGGCATCAAGACAGACAAAAAGACCAATGGAACTGAACAGGTCTATAAGCTTCATCAACCAATTTTTGACAAAGCTGCAAGGCAAGAGGAAAAAGGATAGTCTTGAATAAATGGAGCTGGAACATTGGATATGCATATGAACTGTGATCCATACCTTGTACCATCCACAAAAATTAACCCAAAATGAATCACAGACCAAAATGTAAAACCTAAAACTATAAAACTTTTGGGGGCGGCCCAGTGGCACAGCGGTTAAGTTTGCAAGTTCTGCTTCTCAGCGGCCTGGGGTTTGCCGGTTCAGATCCTGGGTGCTGACATGGCGCCGCTTGGCAAGCCATGCTGTGGCAGGTGTCCCACATATAAAGTAGAGGAAGATGGGCATGGATGTTAGCTCAGGGCTAATCTTCCTCAAAAAACAAACAAACAAAAAACTATAAAACTTTTAGAAGAAAACACAGGAAAAATCTTTGTGACTTTGGATTAGACAAGGTTTTTTAAAGATATAATAGCAAGATATAAGATATAATAGAAATAAGATATAATAGAAAAGTTGATACATTGGACTTAATCAAAATTAAGAATTTGTGCTTTTGAAAGATACTTTCAAGGGAATGAAAAAACAAATCACGGACTGAGAGAAAATATTTGCAAATCACATATCTGATAAAGGACTTGTATCTTGAATATGTAAAGAAATCTCTAAACTTAATAATAAGAAAACCACTCAATTAAAAAAACAGGCAAAAGATTCAAACAGACACTTCACCACAGTATATAGATGGACAGCAAATAAACACATGAAAAGATGCTCAACATTATTAACGTTAGGGATACGGAAATTAAAATCACAATGAGGTACCACAATACACTTATTAGAATGACTCGAAAAGACTGTACTAAGTATTGGAGAGGATGTGAAGTAATCGGAACTCTCATACACTATTATACAATAATGCTAATTGGTACAACTGCTTTGGAAAACAGTTTGGCACTTTTCTAAAAATATTAAACATACACTTAACATATAACCTAGCCATTCTGCAGCTAGGCTTTACCCCAGAGAAATGAAAGCATATGTTCATACAAAGACTTGTACATAAATGTTTATAGAAACTTTATCTGTAAAAGCCAAAAACTGGAAACAACCCAAATTTTCATCAACTGGCAAAAGGGTAAATAAACTGTGGTATAACCAGAAAATGGAATACTACTCAGCAATTTTTGAAAAAGAATCAACTATTGATATACATCAATAACATGGGTGAATATCAAAATAATTCTTCTTAGTGAAAAGAGACAGGCAAAAAAAAGCATATACTGTAGGTTCCTTTTATAAAACCCTAGAAAATGCAAACTAATCAATATTGACAGAAAGCAGATCAGTGTGCGTGGGGACTGGAGCAGTGGGAAGTGGGGTAGGAGGGAAAGAAGGGATTACACAGGGGGCATGATGATATGTTCATTATCTTAGTTGAAGTGATGGTTTTATTGGTATGTACATATATCGAAATTTAAGTTGTACACTTTAAATATGTCCACTTTATTATATGTCAATTATATCTCAATAATCTGTTTTTAAAAACTTCATAAGACAATTCAATAAATAAACAAGGACAAGATTTGAACAGACACTTAAGAAAAGATAAACACATGAAAAGATGTTCTACATCATTATCACAGAAATGCAAATTAAAACATCACTATATACCCACTCAAATGGCTATAATTTTTTTAAAAACTGACAATACCAAGTGCTGTCAAGGATGAGGAAAATGAGACTCTTATACATTGTTAGTGGAAATGTAAAATGGTTTGCATTTGCAAACTCCCAAAATGCCACTCTGGGAAATAGCTTGGTAGTTTCTTTTAAATTTAAACACACTTATCACAGGACCCAGAAATTGCACTCCTAGGTATTTACCCAAGAGAAATGGAAATGATATGTACATACAAAAACCTGTCTGGGAATGTTTTCAGTATCACCAAAAACTAGAAACCTTCCAAAGGTCCTTAAACAGATGAATGAATAAACAAACAGGTTCATCCACACAATGGAATACTACTCAGGAATGAAAAAGAATGAAGTACTAACACATGCCACCACATGGATGAATCTCAAATGAAGTGAAAAAAGCCAAATGCAAAAAGCTACATACTGTATGATTTAATTTATATGACAATCATAAGATAGTAAAACTATAGGACAGAAATCAGACGAATGATTGTTAGGGGTTGGGGAGAGGGGACTGATATGAAGTGTCATTTTTTGGGGGATGGAAAATGTTCTACGTCTTGATCGTGGTGTTTAAACAACTGCAAAATTCATAGAAGTACATTAAAAAAGGGGCAAATTTTGCTCTATGTAACTTACACTTCAAAAACCAGACTTAGATTAATTATAAAGTTAATGAAAGTAAACGTTTTCAAAAATGTGTGAAATGTGCAGGTAAGCCACATCTGGTGCTGAAAGAATGAGCTTTAACTCCAACAAGGAAGACAAAGAAATCTCTCCCTCCCTTCTCCAGAGCAGAGACTGCCTAAACGTTGAGAGTCAGGATTCAGAACACTGGGCTTCAAATGCTTGCTCTCCTGTTTTTCCTGAGTTGTGCCAAAGATGCTGTCCTCCCTAGTGCCCCACTTAATCTTCTTTTTCTAATGGAAGCAGCTTTTAACCTTAGGCCATTTTCTAATCTGGGCCTTTGGTGAACACCACGATAAATAAAAGACTTGAGAGCTTTCAAAGGTGACATTCCCCCTTTTGAGTCACTTCTTTCCTCAAATGTCAAGCTGTTCAGGTAAGGGGGTATATGAAGACCAAAAAAGAGGGGATTCAAGTTGCTGGAGGCAGCATGCCTTGAATAGGATGCAGAACTAAGGGGCTGACCAGGGGGTTCACGCAGACTCCCTGGGCACTTTTTGCAGGCAGAGGTGTGCAGGTCCTCAGATTCTGGACAGGTTCCAATTTGAGTAATTATGTTCTCTCTCCCTAAGTACCCCCTACTGTTTCTGGAGGATACAGAATTCTTATTCACTTCCTGTACTAAAGTGTTGTGTAGAGTTGCTGTGCAGCTGTTAAACAGCTGCCACATTCCTCTCCATACATAGTCTCTAAAGCACTTTTGGATGAAAGGTGCTATATAAACATATTTTATTATCATGTATTGGTTGCCTTTCCATTTAGTAATAGGTTTTGGGAAGTTCTAACTATCAAATCCAGGTCTGTATTCCACAGCACATCTATGTTTAATTTCTTCCCCTTCCTGCTCCCCAACCCCCTCTAAATGACAAGGCTCTTACCACAAGGGTCCGTAGACAGAGAGTCCCTGCAGGAGCACGGGGGTCCAAGGCAGCTACAAGATCCCACACTTTAATTTTTCTAAAGATCAAGAAGGGGACCAAAATCTTAGTTAAAAGTAAAATTAAAGCAACACAGGAAGAATAGCAAAAAGTCATGGCACTAAATATGTATGGTGGATATAGTTTATATAATAATGCAGCTCACAGGAATATATAAAACCTTTTTTGTCTGGGAGATTTGGTTCTTGCATTCATTTTTGTGTTGAGTTATTGGTCTTAACAGGGGAAAATGTAGGTGATTAACCTAAAGATGAGAAATAGGTTAGCTTTAACCACACTGAAGATAGTGAATGGTAAAGTTATATCATACTTTGGGGTCAAGAAGAGATATCAGACCTCTTAATGATATGAGAGATCACTTCAACCTAGAAACCTACAACTCTGAGGCATCTTCTTTCTGGTCAATTCTAAGAATGGCCCAGGTCAAATGTACCAGAGGACTGGGGTGCATTTAAGAACTCGAGAGTTTATATAAGCAAATCCTCCTACTTTGATTTAAATAAGAAAAGTTTAGCTCTTCTAAAAATCAATTATAAGTCATGTCTCCTCAGGGTAAATAACAGACAAATCTCAAGAAAGCTGGGTACAGATCAAAACCAGGGCAATGAGAAATACAACCTTGAACCCAGCTGGAGCATGTTGTCACACCCTGAAAAATTTTCCAAGGTATGACAGTGATGGCTGACTCAAAGCAGAGGAATTGGGTCTGTTACACTTCCTGCTACTTGAGTTGTATTGATATATAAGTGTGGCCAGTTCATAAACTAAGATAACGTTGTAAGTAAGTTTCTGATACTTTAAAAGCCAATGTTTGAACTGTAGCCTCCACTTGCCCAAATCGGGCACCTTGACAAGAAGAAATGATAAAAGAGGCCTTCATAAGTGAATACACGTTTGTAAGAATTTACTATGTGCTTAGCATTGTGGACATGGGATCCATCCACAACATGAACGGATTCTATAACCACTGGAAATTAGATTGAAGAAAATGAAGATTACCGAGATAAAGTTACTCACTGTACCTGAAATTCTAGGAGGTGAAAACAAGAGGGCTGCGCTTTTAGGAATCACTCAGAGAGATCAAAATGCAAGACTCTACCACACTAAGCCCCAAAGATACTGCCCTCCAATGTTTCAGTTTTATTAATGAGTCACTATTTTATATGCACATCCTATTATACCGTTTGTCCAGTTCTTTGCTTTTTAGGGCAAAACAGACAACTATGTAACTAAATAACCAAAATATTAATTAAAAACATGAGCAAATAAGTGCAATTAGATGACTGCGAAGAATATTTTGGAAAAGAGTAAACAAAAGAGCGGTAAACACGTAGATTAGACACAAGAAATACTGGATCCTCTCTGTGAAATCTTTAATCTTACAGAGACAAGGCAAGGCTACATTTAACAACCTAAGACAGGAGGGATTAAGATGTAGGCATATTTTTTTAACACTGTTAGCAAACCTACCCATCATAGGCCCCACTGACTATCCTCTTGTTATCAAATCGAATACAGCGCACCAACTCCTCGTGCCCTTCTAACACTCGTAAACATGCACCACATTCTATGTCCCATAATCTGGAAGAGAAAATTGAGTCAAGTGAATTTTCATGTATTCTTTTCTAAGCTTGGAATGTTATAATAATATACTTCATATGTCTTTTAAAACTCCACAAAAATAAAATCAATCAATATCCATACAAAAATGTATTGCTTTCAATGTAATTTATTTCCTTTCTGCCATATAACTCAGGCAGAAAAATGTATGATTTAAGTTCAAACATAGCATATATTTTCAAAGCACAAAGCTTTGTATAATTGACCAAGACAAGAAAAGTAATCCTGAAATCACCAGTAAGAATGAGATGCAGTCTGGCAGTGACATCACAAGGCATGTCCTCCTCTGTCACTGAGGACACTCTGCTTTCACCCACAGTCCAGAACTGTCTTTCTCATATAACGGAAATGCAAACTAAGTTCTCAAAAACTTTTTTTTTCCTTTTTTTTTTAAGGAAGATTAGCCCTGAGCTAACTACCGCTAATCCTCCTCTTTTTGCTAAGGAAGACTGGTCCTGAGCTAACATCCGTGCCCATCTTCCTTTACTTTATATGTGGGACGCCTACCACAGCATGGCTTTTGCCAAGTGGTGCCATGTCGCACCCGGGATCTGAACCGGCGAACCTCGGGCCGCTCAGAAGCAGAACGTGCGAACTTAACCGCTACGCCACCGGGCTGGCCCCTCAGAAACTTTTATATATTAATCTAAAAAACTGTATGCTTTCAGACCAATCCAAATATTTCTAGGAATGATCATTTCCTCAGATATAACAATAGCTCTATCTTTGGTATTTTTAATGGCCTTTTCATCCTCTTAGTACTTCTTTGAAGGAAGGGAGGGGACTGATAATTCGTGCAAATTCTATTAATATCTGTGTCATTCATCCCTGTGAAGGGAAAACACCAAAAAGTACTTCAATTTGTGGATCCTTCATAATTTCAGAGACTAGTTAACTCCCTGGCCAATTGTGTAATGCTAAGAAAACAAAATGCACAATTTCTAGTAGGGAACAAATCTTTTTTCCCTTTTTTTAGAACAGTGGCAGAGAGAAATGGCCTTTAGCTATTTATTAGCAATTTTCAACTGTAGACAGGAGAAATTTAAAGGGAGGGGCCTTCAACCTCCATCTACTTATCTCTCTTGTCCACTTCCTCATTTAAGCAGTACCTTTTAAATAGGTCTATCTGGTGATAAAACTATTACAGGAAGGAAACACATCAACAAAAGGCTTTGCTGTGCTGCCTCTGCTTGGGGCAAACTTTTGACCTGTAAGAAGCTACAGAAAGGAAAAATGTTTATTATAAACATAATGCAGTTGAAGATTTGTTTGATCTGTGCACAAACAATGAATGGCAGGATAATACTGATCCCTTCTGGGCAAGGGCACCTGCTGCTCACCTGATAGTGTTGTCAGATGAACCACTCACGACCAGCCTGTCTCTGTACTGTAAACAGGCAATGCCGCGTTTGTGTCCATTTAAGGTCCTTACAAATTCACAAGTACTTGTGTTCCAGACCTGAAACAGAAAATAGCACTGAACGAATGGGGGAATTCAACTTTTCAAACCAAACCAAATAAAAAACATGACAAGTTTGATTCATGGTAACATAGGGCTGATTTGTAGCTGGCCGCTATCACATGAGAATTCCTCAAATCGATTTAAGGTGTTAGCCTGGTCTTGTAGATACATTTTCTTTACCCTAAATTTACCTCTGCCCTTCTCACACTCACCATTATTTATAGGAATAAAATATCTAACCAAAACTATCACACAACTTGTCTCACTCATTACCTTTTTACACATAGACTAATATCTGAATTAAATATTAAGTTATTCTACAGTGATGTGTGAAATTGCCCTTGATCAGATGTTCATATGAACTCTCCTACTCTAAGTTAGGGACATACTGAAAAATGCCTTATTACCTTTATAGTCCTATCCCCAGATGCAGAAACAATGTACTTGTCATCAAAGTCTACAACATTGACGGCAGCTCGGTGTCCGACTAGCACCCTCCGGAGGGTGATATCAGTTGGGGAGGCCATATCCCATACAGCAATGGAACGGTCTTTGGAGCAGGTCACCATCATGCCATTATTGAAACGCAAGTGTAGAACTGCTTCACAATGGTGAATCAACGTGTTTAGCATTTCACCTGTATTTACATCCCACACCCTGAGACAAACAACATTAAGGTTATCTAAGATTTTGATAGTACTCATGCTACAATCTGTTACTGGTATTTGAGGATAGTGCTCCTCTCCCCTCCCACTTCATTTCCATAGTTAGTGTTATACCCTACTCTTCTTTTGCAGCTTTGAGGTTGAGATGAGGTAAAGAGTACTGATGGACATGGGGAAGTGGTAGATGGAGGGCTGGGCTGGGATGCTGCCAATCTGAAATCCTTAAGACATACTACTTGAAATCTGGGCAAGTTGTGGGGGGTAGGAACGAGGCTGCAGTCACCATCACCTACTAATTGCGCCCAGATTTCAAGATTATTATAAAACTTCTGACATTCAATCTGATACCATTAATTGAATACATTTTTAACTGGGAATCTGACTAATAACAGCAGCATTAGTGTCCTACAGATAGCCCTCAGGAACAAGAACGGATATAGGCCAAGAAGCTTCTGTGACAGACTGACTTAGTACTGTGGATTTGAGCTTGATGACCCTGGATCTTAGATTTCACCACGCAGGTCAAGGCCCAAGATTACCTAGACTCTAAGTCTAAGGCCCTATTTCTGTGCTTTGAAGGCAGGTTGGAATCAAGAATAGCCATCCGATTGTGAATATGGGCTTCAGAGCACAGTGTGGGACTCTCAGATAGCTTGAGAATTTTGTATGATGATATATTTTATTTTGATTACTCTATTTTTGTATATTTACTTTAGTTTTTATAACGCATTTTATTTCCTTTTCCAGTTTAAACCCCCCCTTTTAGAAAATAATTTTTTCCTTTAATCTTATAAACGATGTTAGCCTCTACAATGTTTCAACTACCTTGAGGCACTCCACAAGTACCAATAAATGTTAAATGTCAATAACTATAATAAGAACTGAGTTTGCTATGCCTTTAAGTCAAAAGACAAGAAACAGGAACAGCTTTTTCTATTCACAAAGGATAACCTGGAATGGTAAACATTTAACTTCAGAGAATCTAACAATGCAGTTAACCGCCTTTTTTTTCTATTTTTTTTTTTTAAGTTACTTTTGATGCATTATGTTTGCTAAATCCTTTAGCTTAAGGCAAAATTCCTAACAGAGGTTTCCAGCAGTGCTGCTGGTACCCAGAACTCAAGCTACACTGGACTCCAGCAGCATAATGGCTGTGTCATCAAATCACTAACGCCTCTGGAAATTGAAGGCCCCTCCCTGAGTGAAGCTTGCAATTAAAAACTGCAGGGGCAGCAGGGGAGGGGCTGGCAAAGAGAAAGCATTGCTCACCTGTACACATTTTAAAGGAGATAATGCATGCCTGCACTACAGTTATAACCACCTGAAAGGAAGGCTTCGTTCCATTCATGTCATTCCCCTGTGAGGTGGTTTTTGTAAGGAATGCAAGGTTCACTAAGTTTCTATAATGGATGATTCTCCCAAATTAAAACAGAATATGTAGTTTCTTAAATGTACAAAAACGTAAACTTACCTTAATCATGCCTAAATCAAGTTGTCTAGTTCTAGACTGACACAATGATGGGAATTTATTCTTTTTTAGTTACGAAGTTTCAGAGCTGTGTTCATGCAGAAATATACAAAATTACTATCTATGACAAAGAACAGAGCGGATCTGGTATTTCAGAGTTCAAAAGATCATTTGAAATTTTCTACCTGACCGTGGAATCCGATGATCCAGTTATGATCACCCTCTCGTCATACTGGAGACACAGGACAGAACCCGTGTGGCCTGTGAGAATTCGCTTGCATTCCAACGTGCTTTTATCCCAGATCTAGGATGACAAACAAGATCCTTTTGATCACTGTCATAATGGGGTGCTGCAGAGACTTGCTGGCTCTATTATGTGTTTGATTCCCCAAAAGAATCAAAGCCCAGAGTAGTGTGGAATGCATTCTTTTCTACAGGTATAGCTAAGCACCTATATATATGTGGTTTCAGTAGTAATGCAGACTTTATCCTTTTCATTAAGGAAAAGGAGTAGCCTATAATTATGTGAGGGTGAAAAGAGTAATAGCCCATTCAGTGCACCTAAAGAAGAGAATTTAACCCTAGCACTAAGCATTTGTATGTGCTTCTGGTGAGGGAGGGCAGGAGGAAAGCAGGTATCTGTCCTTTAAGGAAATGATTTTGGCTTTGGGACTGGAAACAATCTAAAACTTTCATTTTGTGGAAATAATGCTTAGAGTTTATGCTTTGGATTGCTTTTATGAAGGTGGTTAGCCTCGCTTATTCAGCTACCTTCCCACAATTGAACAGACCTCACCTTGATTGTGTTGTCTCGAAGGCCACTTACTATCTTCTGATCATCATACTGTAAACAGTAAACTCCTTTGCTTGTTTCACTTCGGCAGTGGATTCTCTGTAAACTGTGTCTTCCACATCTCCAATTAGATTCTATGGTCTGAGAAGGAATGGTAAAGAGACAGTAATTAGGAAAAGACCAGAACTAAACTCTTACCTGACTTTCATGGCAACCAATGACAAATGCTCAATGCTTCCCTCAATGCATATACAGAACTTAAGGCAAACTAAAAAAAATGTTTTTAAAAGGCCACTATTTAAAATTGTAAAACATTTTTCCATTTGCAAAGTAATTAAAGATTTATTTCCTAGAACTCTCTTGCATATAACTTGTATAATTAAATAATAAATCTTGTGGAAAGAGACTGCTCACCAACAGAGGGCAAGCTATGAACCACATGAGGTATGTACTCAGCGCTCTTCTTACTATGTGGTGGCCATTTCTACCAGTGAACTTCCATGGAGGCTCAATTCAGAAGATACGTGAACTGTATATCAGCTTCTAAGTGTAACCTTAACAGTCTCACAGCTATTGTATGACGACATCATATGCCCTCTCTCTTGCTCATCTATCAGTAAACAATTTTTAAAAGCTTTAACATTTTTGCTTGGCAATTTACTACATTTTACCTAACCTATTCACTTGTAAAGAAATTGATATTTAACCCACATCAATAAACCTTAATGGGTTTGCTGTAACAATGCTGTTATTGAAGAATGCTGATGCTTCTCTAGTATTTGGCAAATACCCAAATATACATAGATTCTTACCTCAATGTCTTGTATAATTTTAGGATAAAGTGCTCTATAAAAAGAGTTGGGAGGAGCATTCCCATCAGGAGGTTTGTTTTTGAATAAATAATGTCCCCTAAAAAAACAACAAATATTTCCCAATAAAAATCATAATACTGTACATTTACAAGGAGCTTCATCTCTCTTCAAAGTGTTTTCACAGTTACCGTTCCACGTAGTCTCCCTAACTAGCTAGAGGAGGTGTGAAGTCAAGCCTGATTTCAGGAGTCCCACATCAAGGAGGAACTTTCTGGGCTCTAAGGAATTCAGTCAACACTGATTTGCTTTGGGTAAAACATGATGATTTCCATGTAGAACATCAGAGTATCAGGCCTTCAGGAATATTACAATGTCAATAGCCAAAGGAATATGTATAATCAGAATTCATCTACTTGTCTGTCACACTCCTGTACAGACAGACTCATTGGCCTTATCTTTTGAAAGTTTTGTTAGTGATGGTATCTACTACCTTTGAACTAGGTACATGCCCCACAGCCTTTTCACTGAGTAAAGCTGTGCCAGTGTCACTGGAGCCTAGCATCGTGGGCAGCAGGAATGCCTCTGTCATGGAGATCACTTTGTCTCGTCTTCATTTATGTGGAGGAAGGTGTGCTGGTGGCTCAGGCACCCAGGCTGCTGGTGATCAGTGTAGCTATGCTTTAAAAGGAGCAATTCAGTTCATTTCGACAGAAAACAAAGGCATCACAGGAGTGTCCAGCACCAGGTATGGAAGAAGATGAAAGGAAATGCCTAAGAGCAGTGTGCTGTCAAGTCTAAGGCACGAAATTGACTTTCACAGGTGTGTTCCTGGCTACATACACACATACATGCATTTTACTGCCTTTCCTTGATTCCTGTGAGCAACATTTGTTAGCATCTCCTTCCTTATGACAGCACATCCCTGGAATACTCATATCCCAAGCTAGATCTTTGCTACAAAAAAAAATCAGTAAATGGCAATCACTTCCTGCTGGGTAAAAAATTTAATTCCTCATCCTGAAGTTAAGAACCCACCAAACACGGTGTGGAAGCTAGTAAACCCCACTATGGGTGTACTAACTGCTGTTCTCACTGGCACCGTGCCTTGCAAAGTGGAGACAGGCAGAAATGCCTCTGAGTGTAATACTGGCACCAGAGAAATCATGTTTTCTCTGGGCCAGTCATCCACTCCTCCCTCTATAGCTCCATTACAATATAATTAATTGTTTGATGTCTCCAGGAGCGCTTCTACCCTGCCCTCTTCCTATTATATACCTTGAAAATTAGTTGAAAAAATTTCCTATCAGGAAGGTAGCTGGCTCTGACTTCTGTGTTAATACAGAAAGGGAAATCTGCAATGGAGGAGCTAAAATAATAGTTTTTAAAAGGGGACTAATAGGAGCAAGAAACATGATACACTAACATAAAGAAAAGGCCGAACAAGACACATTATGAAATAATTCTAGCTTAAGAGATACACTTTGAACAATCTTATTCGATAAACACATTGCAGGCAAACAACAGATTTTGAATGAAGAGATTCTAAATCTGGTTAATAATTATTAATAATTTCAACTTCAACATCCTTTAATGAGGTAGGAATCACTATATTGATTTTGCTGATAAAGAAATCAAATGTCGGGGAGGTTAAGTAACTTGCCCAAGGTCACACAGCTAGTGAGCAGACCTGGGATTTGAATCTAAGTCTGACTTCAGAGCCCTCACTCTTAACTACTTTATTGTCTCTCAGTGCCCACAATTCCTCAGATTCCTGTCTTCCTTTTAATCTCTGGCAATCTATACAGGCACTCCAGGATTTTCTTCGTATGCAATACAACTATCTCTACATCCTAAGGAAAGAGAAAGCATATACTTTTCTGATCTCATTTTCTATCCCACTGTATTTACCATGCCTTGGTAAAGAAGTATGTGAATTTCTTCAAATCAAAGGTACTATAAAAAGGGTAGCTAGATGTTGAGAACTGATTTCTCAGTATATATCTATGTTGTAAGTCAAAATCTTTTATGATGCAAGCTCTTTGACAACAGGGACCACTTGTATGTGAAATGCCTAGTACCTCTGAGAGCAAGAGTACATAATAAACGCTAAATACTAACTTCAGAATGTTATCATAAAACATGATCTGCTGATTAAGAAAATAGACTTTTCCCAAGTGGTCTTTTATCATACTTTTAGAGTAACCATTACTGAGCAGAGAGAGCATATTCAGTATTATTCAAGAGTGAAAATGACAGAGTTCATGTCCTAGGGGCAGACTGTCAAATTCATCTAGATATAAACACAATAGCAGAGTGGAATTTAAACTCAAAGCTTTATTAGAAAACTGTATTTACTTGTTTATTTTTGGTTGGAGGAAATGTAAGAAACTTTCAATAATAGCATTTGTGGGAAAGTATAACAGAAAGACTTTATTGACACAGTAGGCTTAGTAAGACAACTTGAAGGAAGAAAATGAGAAACTGATCATACATTAAATTTTTTTTAAAAAGTGGCAGACGACAACCAACACAGGAAGACAGGCAACATGTAAAAAACAGAAGCAGCTACAGAAAGTCAAGGGGATACTGGAGGAGGTCTTGATGAGTGGACAAATATTTGTAATTTCATGGGTCTGTATCAAGCTAAGATGACAAATGTGACCAAAGACAAAGGAATATAGTCATAACTCTGAAGGATACTCAAAAGAACAGGAATGGGTTTCTTGGTTGAAGAGAGGGTAAAGAGTGATAATTAGTGCTGGATTCTGGATTATTTCTCAGCTATACTTTCATATACTGTTTAAAAAGATCAAAAAGCCATCTTTTCAATGATTTTGTTTTTTTCTTTGTAACTAACATATCAGATCTTGCTGTTTAGTGCCTATCCTCAGCAAAATTGTGGAACCTATGTTTATCAATGGCATTTTCACATGCATCTGCCAAGATCTGACCATCTACTTCTTGTTCTCTCTGGCTTCAAAAAAAGACTTTGTAAAGTCTCAAGGTCTGATAACCGTTTCCTGTCATATACAGTCTAAAAGGGAACAAGGTGTATTTTAACAGGGAACAAAACCTTTACAGCTATAGGAACGAATCTCTGTCACTGAAATTTCAGATCAATTATCTGGAGGAGAGTTTCTTTTCTTTCCTTTTTTTCTCTTCTTTTTTCCCCTGAGGGGTAGAGAAATATTTCTAGCTACCCTAAAATTTTCCCATGTAAGCAACTGCCTGCTCTATTTCTAAGGCTGGTTCTGGCACACTTAGCAGGATGATAGACTTTGGACGCCACACAACTATGTAACTTACTTGCTTTTTTATACGATAGAGCTTATTTCCAAAGTATGAAGTAAGTTATGAAAGATAAGGTTTCTATCTTTCTATAAGTGAGAATAAGAAAAACACATTTGGAAAGGGGAAATAGAATAAGTTTCCATTTATGCAATTTTCATATAGCTAAAGAATTGCCTGGAATTTGCTTTCTTTAATTGAATTTGAGGGAAATCTTAAAGTCTTCCTAATAGCCAGAATGACAGAAATCTCTTGAAGCATTTGGTATAATATTTAGAGGTCATTATGTTAATTATATATTCATGAATTTCAAAGATACAGAAAAAGAAAGGGAGCCAACTATATTTTTATGAAAATTGCTAAGAAAAGTTGATCCTCCATTCTTCACTGTTTGGCATTTCTTTAACAATTGATAAACTTAATTGCTCAGGATTATCACTGAGCACATATATGCCTACTGGTGCATATCTATCAACTAAAGTACTTAATATGTCACGTTTATTTTATTTATGAAATATTCACACCTGACTTTCCTATAGTGACATTCTAGAGACATCCTCTGAGAGAAAATTATATATAGACAGCATCTTTCAGAAGTTCTAATGAAATGGTACCACTATGTTAAGAGAACAACAACAAAATTGGTGAATTCTCTTAGGCTGCTAACTATATAATGCCTTAAGGAATTCAGGATTAAGTAGTAAAATCTTGAAAAAGTAAATGTCTTATGAAGAAACAATGATTTATACTAAATTCCATTTTTCACTCCGATGGCTAGAGTTCTTATTCTACTTGGGCATAAAAATAATTTTGATTACAAAGATGATAAAACACCACAGATATGGGGTAAAGGTAAGAAATCTTTGGAAGGAGAAAAATAATTATTTGTTCTGGATTTTTTTAGGGGAAAGCTGGATCTGATGGCTTCTGTGTGACTCAAAGTCATCCACTTGCCTTATAAATTGCCCATCGGCCCTTTTTCAGGATACCAATTTCTGGCCAGAGAACAGAATGCTTTAAACGGGAGGGCTGATCAGGTTTTCATTATTTTTTGCAAAGCAGTGTTAATATATTATTTGCTATTTATGAGTGAGTGGTCAGAAGAAAAACTGCTGAGTACATGAACAACTATTTTACACTTTTTGCTATAAACCAGCAAAATCACTGTATTAAACGATAAGCAGTCTCATTGGTTCCCAGAAATATTTCAGTAACTCTGAACAGCCAGGTCCTGAAGCCCTATAACAGTAAGAAAGTTAAAAGGCTCACCACCCTCTTCGTTCTGCCAGGCCTCTCCACAGAGAATCTGTCCTGACCATTCTCTCGATGAGCTTCTTCCATAACATGCCATCAGATGTCACTCGGTACCATTCCTTGCACACAAGTTCAGCAGCACATAGTGATTTGGCATCCAGGTATGACAGAATGTTCTCAGCAATGTGATCCAAACCTCGAGCTTTCAGTGGGGGGAGGAGGCAAAGAAAAAGAACATAGGTGATGGTGAATGATTTTTCACAAAAGGTCCTTTAAAACAGAACAGCATTTATTCTGCTATGAAGGCACATCACTGTCCCTAGTGTGGTCCAGTTTCTTTTTCAAACAGAGACTTGGGTAAAATGAGTGTCAATAATTTTTCCATAAGGTTACAGAAATGAACAATATTTTCCATCTTCCTTTAGATACGGAAGTTAAAGCTAACAACCAGCAAACCCCCCAAGACATTAAAAATAAAAAGGATTCCAGAAAACAATTCACATCTATCTATATGGATTTCAGCACTAGGGGATGTTCTATGGATGGCATCTCAAACTCTGTGATTCAGACTCCCCCCCCCCACCCCCCAAATCGCTATATTAGGTCCATTTCTCATTCCATTTCTATTACTGCTGCACTTCCAAAGCTGTTCAGTAAAAGAAATATCCTTTAAATGTACTGGGGGAGAGGCACTAAGTCAGAATGTGCTGGGTTATAGAATTTGGGGCATGCAGAAAGGAGAGAAGAAGGAAATACAGATTGGTATAGGAACATCCCAAGAGGAAAGACAGAGAAGTATGTTTAAGTTCAGGGATGAGTTTAATTTCAGATGTTTAAAAAAAAACTATATTTGAGAATAGTTGCTGCTATAAAACCTAAATGACAGTTAGCCAAAAATGAAAAAATCCAAGACCAATAGATAACGGTTAGAAATTCAGGGACTATTTCGTAGGATGCAGAAAGGAATAGAGTGGAAGTAGATCTTGGGCTGTATAAACTAGGTAGGCTTTCCAAGTAAAATTCTCTACCATCCAGATCTGTACTGAGGCCTCAGAGGAATAGATCTTATAAAATAGGATGATTACACTAATAAACCTTTTGGCTGCTGTTCTAATTCACAAGTGAGACAAAACATTCAAAGTTATTTCTTTTTACAGGTTACATATCAGAGATATGCTAAAGACTTAAATAGTGCAGAGGGATTTCTTCATACTCTGACCTCCTTAGGCAAAAACTTAACAAATAGGAAAGAGAATACCACATTTCATTTTGTGCCCTTCTCCTGAATCATACAAAGACACATGTGGACAGCATTAACAACAAATGTGCTTAAACGGTATTCTAATTATACTGTATGGATATCAGTCAAATTTTTCAGCAGATTTGGAAAAGAAAACATTAAATGGATCTTGTTTGGCTGGCATCACATGTTTATATTTAAGCATAAGCAGATGGAGGCATCCATCACCTAATTCTTATTAAAGGAACATGACCATAAGCCAATTAAAGATATAATAGTTAGTTCTTCATGAAAAATACAGTGATGGTACAATTCCTGCATCTTTATATTGAGACTTTCTACACCATAAGAAGTTTCCAAAATGCATTCTTGTGTTTTTAATGGCTGCCATCAAATTGCTCCTAATCTTTCACTATGTCCCTATAATAAGTCTTTGGAAGTAATTTCACGTAACACTCCAAACAAAACCATTACATTAATGGATTACAGGCATTTTTTGAAGCAGTTTGGTTTACTGAATGTAGCCAGATGGTGTAGGTTTATAAGTTAAAATGGTCATAAAGCCTTAGACTGATGATTCAATATCTTATAAATTGGTCAGCAGATACACATCAGGGATCGGTATTAGGCAAAGGATACACAGGTCTAATCAACTCCTATTCAATTCTTAGTGGTATATGCTTGAGATAGTAGCATGTCTCGGTGACTGGGGAGAGCACAATAATGAGGTACACAAAGATTGTTCGCACAAAGAAAACTGTTGCCTATGGCTAAAACAAAATCCAATCAGTGAAGAGGGGGCAGAAGTCTACTCTACTTAACAAAAGATATACTTACAAATTCAGTTTTAAACTAAGATATAAATAGGCATTTATTTTGTCTTAAAGGGTAATTAAAATTCCAATTTTGGAAGAAGAAATTTTTAAAAAAGATATAATTGGCAAAGATTGAACAAAGTGGTAATATGCAGTTTCGGGGAGGGTATAAGTTGGTATTTTTTTTAAAGGACAGTTTAGAACATGTATTAAAAGCCTCAAAAATGTTTATAATTCATTAATATAGGAATCCCACTTCTGGCATTTTTTCCTAGGATGCCCAAAAGATTTATGAATAAGAATGTCTACCATAGTGTAGTTTATAACAGGAAAAACATTTTAAACTACCTAAATGTTCAATAAAGAACACAGTAAGAACAAATATGTTATAAACACTTATGATCCCAGCTTTAGAGGGAAATATACACATCTAGAAAAAATAGGAAGGCTACATGCCAAAATAGCAAATTAGTAGTTCTCTCTGAATGGTAGGGTTCTGGGAAATTTTATTTTTATATTTTAAACTTTTTAAAATTTTCTAAGCTTCCTATAACTTCTATAAACAGGAAACAACAAACAAAAAATAAAAACAAGATATATTTTAGAGACTCACTCATCTTTGTACTATTTTTTTCTTTTCTTTCTTTATTTTTGAGGACGATTAGCCCTGAGCTAACTGCTGCCAATCCTCCTCTTTTCCCTGAGGAAGACTTGCCCTGAGCTAACATCCATGCCCATCTTCCTCCACTTTATATGTAGGATGCCTACCATGGCATGGCATGCCAAGCGGTGCCATGTCCCCACCTGGGATCCGAACCAGCGAACCCCAGGCCACCGAGAATCGGAACATGTGAACTTAACTGCTGCACCACTGGGCCAGCCCCCTATTTTTTCTTTTAAAATTAGTTTTTGACAGATGAGAACCTTATATTTCACTAAGAGAACATTTTCCCCAAATTCTGATGCCTATGGAGTGTCCTAGATCACCATCGAACATTCAGTGAAACAACCACAGCACCTTCCAAAAAAAGTATTTTGAGTGTGTGTGTATATATGTGCGTGCGTGTGTGTTATATTTAAATATACATTTTAAGAAATATATATTTTTACATATATAGTTTACAATAGCTATTTGGTTACTGAGTACAGGGAAATTGTGAAGCCTGGAACTTACATATTTAATGTTACAAGGCTCCTGAGATATCTTTCTTTCTAAAATACTCAATTAAAAATGTTTCTTATTGATTCCTACAATTTAAATATTCTGTTGATAAATTTCCTTAGAAATCCAAATCCAAGTACATAAGTGAAGATATTTTGAAACATTATAAAAGACATACCTCAAATCAGATAATGTTTCAGAAAAGATTTTATTTGGACCTATGTGTGGGTGAAAATAGGGTGAGTAGAAGGGCATGAGATAGGGAGAAGGCAGGGAAAAGAGAAGCCTCTTTCCAGAGTTTGATTTTTTGTATTTATACCCCAAGAAGGTACAATTAAAGGACTCAGTTTGTAAAAATCAAGCCAATAAAGACTTTTAAAAAGAGAGATGTATACCTGAAAATCCACTACCATTACCATTGTAACATATCTTCCAGGCAAATTAATGGCTCACAAACACCCATAGACATACCTGGCAGAGCAGTTATGAAGTCCCTCTGCAACATAGGTTTAAGATACGAGTTTATGTGCCCATGTTGGTAATGACACATTTGGGATATAAGATGTTCCACAAATTCCACTTGATCGGACTCTGACCACTGCTCAAAATATTTGACACACAGTTCCTTTTCCTTCTCATAGCTTGCTGAGAGTTTCCGTTGCTTGGGCACAATCATACTGGAAGTGCCATTGGTAAGTTTTGTCTGTAGAAGCAGTGCATTAAAAGAAAGATATAACAATAAGTATTAAAAATGAGGGAAATATATAATTTTCTAGTCTAGCATGTTATGTTAGGTCCATATGATGGAGCTCATTCTGTTACTCTATTAGTAATTGGATGTTTGTGAACAGCAATCACATGGAAAGCCACAGAAATATCACAGTAAGTAACTGGTATTACCAATATTCCTGGTAAATCAGGAATATTGCCAGATGACTAGGCATCTATTTCCATAAGTTCACAGGAAGACATTATTTGGAGATATACTGATGAAGGCTGAAAGTATGTTAAGTTATTATCACTAGCAAGCAAAAAAGTTAATTTGCTTTTTCTTACATACACCAGTTACTGGACATTCACACAATTACTTACACACAACTTATTTTTTAACAGTCAAATAAGAAATCCTCCATGCAAAGAGAGGCCAATGAATAATTTGAGACTTGGTACCTTTGGAGATAAAACTTAACATTTATATGCTCAATCTACCCTTTTCCTTCCCAAAAAAAATCCCATCTCTGCTGTCATCAAAATTACATGCCATAAGTCTTTTTTATTAATTGGTTCATTCAATAAACATTAATTGAGCATCTACAATATACCAAACACTGCCCTAGGTACTAGAAATACAACACTGAACAAAAATAACATAGTCTCTATTATCAGGAACTTATGTTCTAGTGTGTATAGCAAGTTAAAAACATAACCAAATAGAAAATATATAGTACAGATAGTGCTATGAAGAAAAATAAAGCAGGATAAGGAGATAGAAAAAAGTGTATATTATTGTAGTAGGCAAAACTCTAAGATGATTCCCCCAAGATTCTTGGCCTCTGGTGCACAAACATCTTCTCAGTTATTTAAACAAATATTTAGGCACGGCGATGATTTAATTAAGGTCCCAAATCAGTTGACTTTAAGATAGGGAGCTTACTGTGGTGGGTCTGACCTAAACAAATGAGCCCTTTAAAAGCTGAGAGTTTTCTCCAATTGGTTGCAGAAGAGGAAGGGGATGGTGTGGCAAGGAATGTCGTCAGCCTCTAAGAGCTGAGAGCAGCTCCCTGATGACAGCCAGCAAGGAAATGGGGACCTCAGTCCTACAAATGCAAGGAACTGAATTCTGCCAACTTCCCCCAGAGCCTCCAGATGAGAATTCAGTTCAGCCAACACCTTGATTTCAGCCTTATGACACTTTGAGCAGAGGACCCAGCCATGCTCTGCCAGACTTCCCACCTAGAGAACTGTGAGCTAATGAATGGGTATTACTTTAACTTGCGAAGTTTGTGGTGATTTGTTATGCAGCAATTGGAAAAAAAAAAACTAATATAGTTATTTAAGTCTAAAGGGTCAAAGACAGTTTGTCTAAAGAGATGACATTTGAACTGAGACATGAAGGAAATGAGGGAACTAGACATTTTGTTATACGAGGGAAGAATGGTCTAGGCAATGGGCATTTTGAGGCAAAGGTCCTGGGTAAGAGTCTGTCTGGCACCAAGTCAGCAAGGAGAAACAAAGTTGGAGAAGTAGTCCAAGCCAGATCATCCAGGTCATTTAGGTAGTGGTAGCTAATCTCCAAAGGTGGCTCCAAACAATTCCATCCCTCCCTGAACATGAATGCCGTTCCACCCACCAAGAGGTGGAGTTTGTCCTAGCCTTTAAATCTGGGCTTTGATTAACAGAATGTGGAAAAAGTGACATTCTGGGACTTCTGAGCTTAAGCAGCTTCTGCTTACTCCTTTGAGCCTTGAGCTACCACATAAGAAATTCAGGCTACCCTTCTGGAGAAGGAAGTCTGGAGGATGAGAAGCTATGCAGAGAGAGGTCTCATGCAGAAGCACCTAAAAAGCCTGAGAGTGACATGATCTGACACCTTTTAAGAAGATCACTGCTGTGTAGACAATACATTGTAGGGGAGATAAATGGAAATAAAGAGACTAATTAAGAGACTACTTCACAGTAGTCCATGGAAGAGACAACAATCTTTTGGACTAGAGTGGTTGCTGTAGAGGTGGTGAGAAATAACTGGGATTCAATGCATATTTTGAAAACAGATCCAACTGAAATTGCTGATGGACTGGATATGGGGTATGAGGAAAAAAAGGAGACAAGGAGTCAGGTTTGATTCTGGGGAATACTCAGAGAAGATTCAGAAATGAACTAAAACGTTTACTACTCTGAAGAAAGCTGGTTTTCTTTAGAGGATAACCACAAAGTGGTATAACTAGGTACTTTTCAAAGTAATTTGAGGGATCTTTGGCATTTTTGCCTGAGGCAATCCCAATTTGGCAGAGAGACCCATGTTACTATGGAGGTTCATACCTGTTGAGACATATTGAATGTGCCATAAAACTGTATCAAATTTGGATAATCAGCTTCTGCTATTTAAGGCACACACTTCCCTTAATTTCTACATGTTAAATCCTACATGCAGGCCTTTTTACAAATGATTCCTGATACACAGCTGAATGCACATTTTTAAGAATGGTATTAGCCATTCTATTTACACAGAAAGAGCTGACACCTGTAAACAGCAAGCCGTGGTGTACAGAGTTGGATGTTTTCTAGCATAAACGCCACTGTTGTCTATAATATAGACTAAAAATGATTAATAAGAACCTTGTTAAACACAGGCTTTGGGAGACCTTAGGGCTGCTTTTTGTGTAGGTTATTTGTTTGCATCTCAGAAATCAAGAAACACGGAGTAAGATTTAGAAAGCTAACAAATAGGTGGGTTTACAAGCTTGCCCAAATGCCACATCTCATCCCAATAACCAAAACCTCCCAGTCCATCATCTTTTACATATATGTCCTTTGTCTTTTAAAAGTTAGAAATGGACCTGAATTGGATGCTACCCAGAGTATTGTTTTCTGGCTAAAGACCAGAAATGCCAGTAACGGGGAACAATAATCAGCAAGGTAATGAAATTATTCTGTTTATACCTTAAACAAACCAGATATATCCATAATCGTGGGGAGTCATGCTTTGGTCAGTGGCTATCAGACTATTAACAGATAAAAGTGCCTAAGGATTTCACAAGTTTGGTTAACCCACTGCAGGAGCTAAAATTCAGTCAAGACTTTCTTATACTGTCAATGATCAAATCATAAATGGGACCTAAACATTTGGCTAGTAGAAATGAAGTATAAACTGAGAGGTCATATATTTACCAACTGTCTGGGCTATTCTAGTTGGTACTAGATTTTAGTCACCACCCCTCAAAGCAGAATATTTCCTTGTGAGATAGAAAGACACATACCTCAGATCCATCATCACTTCAAATGAGTTACTCTTAACTACTACATACCACACCGTATTGTTTTAATAGCCCTGGCCCTGGAGTAGAAAGACCTGGTTTCAAATTCTACCTCCTCAACTTACCAACTGCGTGACATGGAATAAATAACTTGATATTTTCTGAGTCTCTGTTTCCCTCATCTGTAAAATGGGGATAATTATAAAATGTATTCCATTTGGTTTTTGTGGGGATCAAATAAAATAATCAAAGAAAAGCATGCTTAGCTCACCACCTGGCACACTGTAAAGTGCTCAATAAATCAACATATGTAATGAACTTATGACACTGCTGGAGTTGGACCTTCCCTCTCTTTTTGAAAATACATCCTTCTTTCTCACTAAGTACTATATACATAGATATTGTTTTTCTATTTTAATTTTCTATTTTAATTTTTGAAGTATAATATACATAAAAATGCATAATCTTATGTTTACAGCTTGATGAACTCTCACAAGGTGAGCACACCCATGTAACCAGCACCCAGATCAAGAAACAGATTATCACCAGCCTCAAAAGCCCTGACTTGTGCTCCTTTTTTTGGGTCACCAGCACCCCTAAGGGTGACCACCATACTCATTACATTTTTTTTTGAAATATATTAAAAAAAATCTGTCTGCCTAGAAAATTTACAGTAGCATTAAAAAAACCATAACACTTGGGAACAAATTTAACAACAAATGTGTAATACTTGTAAACTGAAAACCACAAAACATTGCTGAGGGAAATTTAAGAAGACTTTAAAAAATGGAGAGATATATTATGTTCACAAATTGGACTCAATATTGTTAAGATGTTTATTCTTTCCAATTGATCTAGAGAGTCAATGCAATATAAGTAAAAATCCCAGCAGGCAAATTGATAAGATGATTCTAAAATTTGTACAGAAATGCAAAGGACCCACACTTTAGCCAAAACAATCTTGAAAAATAAAAACAAAGATGGAGGACTCACACCACTGAATTTCAAGACTTATAAAAAAGCAACAGTAAAGATAGTGTGGCTCTGATGTAAGGACAAACATATAGATCAATGGAACAGAATAGAGAGTCCACAAATAGACTCACATACGGCTAGTTAAATTTTGAGAAAGGTGTCAAGATAATTCAATAGGGAAAGGATAGTCTTTTCAACAAATGATGTCGAAACAACTGGATATTTACACAGAAAAAACGAACTTTGTTCTTTACTTGAGACTATATACAAAAATTAATGTAAGTAGATTCTGGATTTACATGTAGGAGCTAAAGCAGAATTTCTAGAAGAAAACATATGAGAAAATCTTGGTGCGCTTGGGATAGGCAAACACTTCATAGATAGAGCACAAATGCACCAAAAAAGTACAAACTTTCTTTTTTTTTAAAGAAAAAAATAGATAAATTGGCATGTGGCAAAATTTTAAACTTCTGGTTTCCAAAAGAAATAGTTAAGAAAATAAAAATACAAACCGCAAGCTTGGAGGAAATATTTGCAATATATGTATTTGACAAAGGACTCGTATCTAAAATATATAAAGAACTCTTAGAACTTGGTAATAAGAAAATAACTTTTTTTTTAGTGGGCAAAAGATTTAAACAGACACTTCAGAAAAAAAGATCTATGGATGCCAATAAACACGTGAAAAGATGTTCAACATCATTAGTTACCAGGAAAATGCAAATTAAAATCACGAGATACTACTATACATTTA